TTAAATCTAAGCCTAAGGGTCAGGCTAACGCTAAGGCCTCAGTAGAAAGTGTTCGGAGGAGCGTATAGAGTGACGGCGTCTTTCCCATACAACTTGAATAGCCGCCATTATTTAGGACACAGTACAGTAGGTAGTACAAAAACGTGTAATGTAATGCACGTTGATTGCTCCGCCCTACTACACCTTTGTTACCCTAATCTGTAGTTATGTGTTTGGATATATAGATACTTCAATTCCTAAATGTGTCATTAACTATTATTTTTCTTCGTATCATCATCATTTTTAGGCTGCTGATAAACAACTGATTGTATCCTCGATATAGTTGATCCCCCTTATTTAGACGCTTATTAAGAAATACTGTCTGGCACTTGTTTGAGAGTGGTAGCTCTGGTTAATATTTCTCTGTAAGCAAATCATATCGAGGTCTGCAGGACACCTATGTTCAGCAGTGGGCCTGAGAAGGGCTGTTACGATGATGTGATGATGAGTAAATTGCTTGCATTGATGAAATTGGTAGTTGCAATTTTACTGGTTAACCGTGGAAACCTGCATGCGTTAGAAATAAAAAAAAATTCGACGACATGTGAAGTTTGCCAGCACGCAATAAGGTAATGCGCCAGATTCTTTCGTGCGTTAGAACCATAGAGAATATTATATAGTCTTTGGTTAGAACCAACCGTCTTCAGACTAAGTACGAGAGTAGGTCTGTGCCAAACGATTGAAATTCCAATACGAACGCTTATGTCCTAGATTTCCACAACTCCGACATACATAATGTACTTACCTACAAATAACACCAAATACCAATGTACTAATTAAAAATTACTATATTATTTATACTACATATATGTATTATTTGAAATAATATTTTAAATTATTTTAAGGGCCGTCTTCAATCTACAAATAAAATTTATTCATGGGATAAATTACAACATAAACAAATTAAATATTACAATTTAAGATTCAATTGTCCCACTTATAAATTCACTCGGGTTATAATTTATTCGATGGATAACTTTAGAGCCTTCTGCCCAACTAACATTTTGGTTTCAGTTACAGGTTTTAATATAACTTTAATCTGTTTAACTGAGTAATAATTATCTCAGTTCTAACTAAAAGACATATATAAGAGTTAAAAGATAAATTTAGCTCCAACAGTGGTTCTAGAACTTTAATGAACGATGTTAGGTTGCTTTAAGAGTTAGAATAGTGCTAATCACAGCAAGTATAGTTAAGAAGTTGTAGCTTTGACCTGTTTGTAGCTCCTAAATCTATACAACAGTGCTCGCTGACTCTCGTTAACACTTATTGTTGTTTAGTTGTTGCCGTGAAGTGTCTTATATGCCTTTAGGTATTATATTGACTATAGGTGCAGACATGGGTTGTAAAATAGAGTTTGTCAAGAGTGTACTAACACAAGATACTAAAAGTGTTGAACAACTCATTTATGTAGTTTTAAGCTATAATTTTAATTTTACTAATGCTTATTGTGTTTGGCATATACACTTTAAATACATTGTAAAAGTAATGGTGTTATACAAGACAAGTATGGATATTAATACTCAAAAGCAGTCTTTCTAAAGTTGCGATTTGTTATAATTTTTGTTATAAACAACCTTATTACGAACTGAAGAAATTTTTCTACCAAGTATTATTATTAAGTTACATTAAAATGAAACGATTACAAAGATGGAGTAAACAAAAGAAAACAGGCGCAGTGAAAAAAAGAATTATGCAGGAATGCCGTATTTTTTTGGATTCACTTAATAATGGTACGAATGACATAAACAAATCACTTAGTTATGATGATATCCGATTAGATTCTGGTATTCCAGTTATTACGGAAAATAAAGAAGATTCGTTACAAAGAGAATATATAAATAGCCATAATACGAGTAATTTTGGTCAAGTTCGAGTGGAGGCACAGCAGGGTTCCGTAGAACAAGAACAAGAAAAAGCACAAGTAAATAACAATTTTTTCGATTCCATACCACTTAGTGCGTCAGAAGATGAAGAAGAAGAGGAAGAAAAAATTTTGTGATATTGAAAAAATTACTGCACTAACTAAACAATTAAAAACGTGGTCCGTAGGAAACAATATTACCCAAACTGCTTTAAAACAGCTTCTGTTGATTTTGAATGAAGGCTACGTTAGTACTACATTATTACTTCCGAAAGATCCACGCACTGTTTTGCGTACTCCAAAAGAAATTTGTATTAAAAATATAGAAGGAGGACAATATTGGCATCATGGTATAACTGAACCGTTAATGAAATTACTTAAGGATTTCACGCCCATTCCAAATAGCATTCATTTAATCTTTAATTTTGACGGTCTGCCAATATTTAAGAGTGCCAAAAAGGAGTTTTGGCCAATATTAGCCAATGCAGAGGGGAATGTATTCACAATTGGAATATACTATGGTACAGGCAAACCAAAAATATTAGAAGAATATTTAGAAGATTTTGTAACTGAGATGAAATCATTACTTAGTAATGGAATAATTATAGATGAGAAACTTGTTTCTATAAAAATCAAATGTTTTGTTTGTGATTCTCCAGCAAGGGCATTCCTTAAAGGTAAATATTTTTAATTTATGGCCGTATTGAAACTTTAACATTATTGTTATAATCGTGATAGACGAACTAAATTACTATGTATAGTCAATTTTACGAATTATTATTATTATTTTATGAATAATTTTCATTTAAATTTTGTGATGTTCTGTATTCAGTCTTTAATCATTGCTTTAACGCTCGTATGTACTGACTAAATTAGTTAGGCTAAGATTTCAAGGCGATCTTTTCAAATTTTCTAAGTTATTTGTATTGGCTGAATGTGTGACATACTTTTTTCAGGTGTATGTAATTTTAACGGAAGACATGGATGTTTAAAGTGTACGACGGTTGGAGAATATTCGCATACATCTCATACTGTAGTCTTCTCTACCAAGGAAGATTCTCCAAGAACAGATGAAAATTTCAGAGCTAAACTTTACGGAGGTCATCATAAAATAGATTCTCCTTTACTACAATTGCCAATTGATATGGTAGAAGATTTTCCAGTAGCAGATTCTTTGCACCTCATAGATCTGGGTATAATGAAGAGGCTGCTTATTGGGTGGCGAGATGGCAATTTTGGAACATATATGACTAAGCTGTGTGCGCGAGATATTGAAAACCTAGAGGCATTTTTAAAAAACTGTAAATTACCGTCTGAGATCCACCGGGCAGTAAGAAGTATAGATTGTCTCGCTTATTGGAAAGCAAGTGAATTTAGAATTTTTTTTTTATTATTTAAGCGTTATCATATTGTCTGATATCCTTCGTGTTGATGTTGTTGAACACTTTTTGAGTATATTTTGCTCTATTACGATATGTTCCAATAAATGTTACACAACTTTACTACCACTTGCCAGAGAAATGCTGAAACATTTTGTAGATCAGTATAAATATTTCTATGGTTGTCATTATATCACCAGTAATGTGCATAATTTACTCCATATTGTGGACGAAGTTCAAAAATTTGGCCCTCTTCACAACTTCGATGCGTATCCATTTGAGAATCAATTATATTTAATCAAGAGAATGTTAAGACAGGGTGACAAACCTCTGGCACAAGTTGCTAAGAGAATTTGTGAGAAAAGTACAATTAATCTTTTGATGACAGCAAAAACCACGAATAATGTACCCTACTTGATAACTAGTAAAAGTAATCGTAAAATTCACTTCAAAAACTTTGTCCTCTCTTTAAAGCCAGAAGATAAATATTTTATGGCTCACAATGATGATATATTTGAATTAAAAGACTTGTCCCCTGGTAGTGAAAAAGAGGTTACCATAAGTGGTAAAAAAATTTTGAACAAATATATCATATTTGACTTACCGATTAAGTCATCGTTTTTAAGTATGTATAAAGTAAAAGAACCTTATGTTGTCTCTGATGATGTTATAGTAATAAATCCAAATGAAATCAAATGTAAATTAGTTTGTATTAGTCATAAAGATATAATATACTTTCTACCATTATTACATACGCTGTAGGTACTCAAATGATAAGCAAACTTTAATTTGAAAATTTCTTTATTAAAACAGTAAAAATTTAAGAAAAGATTGTTGTACAAATATGGTTTTTAGAAACAAAATATATGTTTGCTTTCACAATATTTTCTGAAATAAATACTCTGTATGTGAATTATGAAAAAATCAATGAAGAGAATATTATTTATCCATCATAATATTAAAAATGCTTTCTTTAGCTTAGATTGCTATAAAAAAACAAATAAGTATACCTAAACTAACTATGGTAACTAATACAATTTAACATATTATGTTGTACTTAACAAAGTAATTGTTTTGAGATAATACAGCCTTACGTATTAGTAGGTATATTTTTCACCTATAGGTATATACAACGTAACAAAAACCCTGTGGTTCCCGTTAAGTATGTTATCAGGATCAGTATTTAAACCTATAGAAATAACTCGTTTTTAAATTTTATTAAAAAAAATATTTTATTTTATGTCGTTTTATTGCCTCTTACTGACACTAGCCGATGCTAAAGCTTAGTAAAGCGAGGTATTTGACAATCCTCTTACTCCACCGATAATGCAGAGGTAATAAAACCACATACAATTCGCATACAATTTTTTTTAATTAAAATAAAAAATATTGTTCGAGTTTTTACAAAAAAAGTTATTTCTATACGTTTGAATAATGATCCTGATAGGGTTTTAGTTACATATTGTATATCTACTAACTTGATCTACATAATAAATATTAACCTACAAAAATATTTTTAAAAATTCGGTAATGTCTAGTAATTATTTCAATCAGTCTCGATTTCCAATTATAGCCTTACATATGACAAAATAAAAATAGATAAAAATAATACTCTAATAGCTTTAATCTTTACATAGTTTTCAGAATATCAAACGAAATAGTATAATATATAATAAATATTTATAATTGCTTAATGTAACGATTCCTTTTCTTCAATTTCAGACACTTGTCTCCTTTCCAATTATAACGTTACTATTATATTTGGCGATGTCTTTTGAGATATTTTTTATAACATCGCCTTCTTTATTTTCCTTTGTGTGTTCTTCTATTGAATCATTTCTTTTCTTCTTATTTATCGTGTTTTCTTCTTCGTTTATCTCATTCTCACTTTCACCGTTATCAGAAGTTACATTTGTCTCATTTTCTTCTGAAAACTTCATACGTTTCAAATTATTTTTGGGTTTCGAACGTTGCCTTGATGTTGAAGCTCTTTCAAGTTTTGCAATTTTTCTTTTTTTTGGCATTTTTCAAAATCGTTTTGAAAAATAATTCATTATCTTTTAAAGAATATTCCTGATCCCAATAGTGCACCATATTCCAGAAAAAAAGACAAGACATGTTTATAACCTTTTAAAGGAATTTTCAAATCTTCACCTCTGCTGCCCCCACTCCATGAGCACTCACAAATAAATTTCCTTGTAAACATAACATCAACAAGCATATAAGCACAGTCTATAGCTTTACCTCCAGAACAAAGTATAGAATATCTATTTTTCAAACAGTCTCTATTGTTTGGGTCCGATAACTGATTTTCGAGTTCATCTAACTCCTGGGCGCTGTCAACTGGCTTTTCATATATTGGAATATTTTCAACATGGCCTTTGCTGCTATTTAAAGTTTGCACGTCTTGATTATACTATAAAGTTATTTGAAATACTGCGTCTTCCATTTGCACAGACAAAGCAGACACCTTTTGAATGAAACTATTTTGCACATTTTTTAGAGACTGAATCTGGGCGATAATTGCCGAGTTATTATCCAGTTGCTGCTGTCGATTTTGATAAATTTGGCTTAGAATAGTTGCTTGGTTATCTAATATTTGTTTTTGGTTCTCAAACATTTTACTGATGTCAAAGCTTACTGAATCCTGTACTAAAGGTGTAGTATCATTTGAAAAGACTTGAGATGTATTTGTTGAATTTGCTTGAATATCCTCGGTATAAACTAAGTTATAGTTTAATTCAATCGGCAAGTCAGCGGACGATGACGCTATGTCTGTGTTACGGTTAGTCAAAACAACATTGCCCATCTGATACAAAAAAGAGCCGGTAAAATTTTATTAAACAGGACTTGACAAAGAGTTTAAAAATAAATAGACTAAATGTTTAAAAAACATTAATTCATTCTTTATAGGCTACTAAAGTCATAACCTTCATTTAATATGTAGTTCTTACCATATCTTGTGCTATTGGATTCAGATTTAAAGATTTGTTATGTGAACGTCGCCGCTGCGTATAATTATCGACATCGTCCTCCGTATCACTGTGCTTCAGCATTTCAGATACAAGCTTTTCTCCGTTTTCGTAGCTTAATACATCGGTCCGTTTTACTTTACATTTTATTACGTCCCAGTCTAGTGTTGGTGTTGAATTTTCATCTTTTAAATACTTTGATATGCATTTATTTGGATATCTGAGAATATTGTTAGATTCCCAACCCGATGGAATAGTAAATAATTTATATTTCTTTCCCTCCAAGGTTTGAACAACTTTGAACGGCATGCTGAAACAATAATAATAACAACTTAGTACACAAATTCAGACAACGGAAAACATACGTAACACGTATATACGTAATTACTCAAGGTATAACAAATTGTCCCAATAGAGAAAATCTTTCTTCATCAATTTACATAGCGTGCCAATTATTATTTTTTTATTTTGACCCACATTTTGGTGAAAGTTGTTAACTTTAATTTATCCTCCACCTCCACACGTATCCCTTAGATATTTCGTTACAACCTGATAAACATAGATCATGTCGTTTGCGGCTCTAAAAGCAAGCATTTGTGGCCAATAAGAACGTTCATATATAAAAAATAATTAAAAACAATTACATAATTTCAATTTTCATAGTTACGAAACTACAAGTGACATTGAATCGGCGATTAAAAAAATCATAACATTGTACGTAGTTGTTTAAGCAACCCTTAAGAAACACTTGCACTAGCACTTCTTACTAGTTTGTGCTTAAGAAACTTAAAAACTATTAGGTATTACTGGATTTACCGAAGTCACATTTGCCATATGGATGAAGTCGCGGGTAGTTAAAACAAAAAAGTTGTCCCAATAGTGTTTTTGTACATAATAGTACCACGTCATAGGGGCGAAAATAAAGATGAGCTAAACAATATGGTAGATATCTATACCTACATAGAAACAAGGTCTACCTACTTCCACGTACCTATTTCAACACAATATTATATAAATAAACAAATCTTTCGGCACAAGTCCCAACTTACACTATCTACCTATAGTCTAACATTCTATGTTACATTAAGTTAAGATAAATAATGAATGTTATTGAATGACTGACCTTGTACGCGTTTTATTTTCGGGTATCAAAGTGAGATGATCAGACGACACTGCTCGAGCCGCTGACGCATTGATGTCCGTTTTCACTCGTCGACTGTGTAAGACTGAGTGACTGTGACTGACTTATTTTGCGAGTAAGGAACTGAGGAGATATTACGATTGTAATGAGTAAAAGTTATAGAAACCTGGACAATCCTTAAAAATAAATGTTTCTTAGGAAAAGTGGTTTGTTATGATGTGTAGTATAATACTACAATCGAACTAATAAAAAGACACCTTACAAACCATATAAATTATTTACTCGGTTTAAGTAATACCAAAACATTGTTTTTTTGTGATTTTTTTTAATACTTGCAGGTTTTGATTATTTCGTTGAAGAACCCTAATCCATCCAGTTCGTAAAATGTTTAGCCGGTTGTATTGCCTTGGCTATAGTAAGTATATTTATTCAAGTCTATTATTGCACTGTTAAGTATACTAAAGACTGCACAATATTCTTGAGTAAAGATGTTGTATCTCAAAGTGTGTAATAGATGACTTAAGTGAAGACCTAAAGCTTTAAGTAAGTTCGCCATTGTTTTGGTAAACTAACCTATAAATTGATGACTGGATTATTCAATATTTGACAACAAAATACTTCATTATTTTTGTTAATTTTGTTATTCCATTGATGCCACTTAATTTAACATGCCACTGGCCAGGATGCAAGAATAAATATGATACAAATTTGGGGTGTCTGTTTTATTCTTCATAACTTTTATTTGAAATCTCTAACAAATCCTGAGCGCGTTAAAATTGAGATGGAAAACATAGTATACACTTACCGTAAAATCACAATGGCTGATTGTTTTCACTTCACAAACTAAAATAACTTGAACACTTTATTATAACTCCTCTGTCAATTATGTCTCGCCATTCGGTAAGCTGTTCTTCGTTGTCACAATTTTATTATGTCGTTTATAGGATTTCTCAAACGAGACTTGAGCTTGAGAGTATTTTATATAACTATTACGCGTTAAAGTGTAAAACAACTATTTTTAATAGGTCTAATGAAGTTTTGAGTGATAAATTATTCTTAGCCGACGTTTTTCTATGTCCCAGAGTGTTAACTAACCCATCTACAACCACAGTAATACCGGTTAAAGTAATAGCTGAGGATGAATAAACACTCTTATGTAGGTACTTTAACACCTTTATACCGTTGCTCTACAGGCTTTCTATAACCTTTACCTGTAAAATCGTGGGCCTCTTTCGTGGTTATAAGTGAGTTAGAGCACTCTATAACACCGCTGCTACAGGTATTCTTAACACTTTGATACTCGAATGGATCCCATATACGAACGATATACAGGTTGTTTTAACGCTACCGTGCTAGTTGGGTGATCTAAAATAAAATTACATCGTGTCAACACTTTTGGGAAAGGTCACGACTATACTCTGTACATCCACAACAGAGTTAATCATGTGTGATATAAATAAATAGTCCATAATAAACCTGCAAGAAGAAGCCGGGGTCCTATTAAAGCATTTCCGATAATGGCGCCTTATCGCGACTTTGTCCAGGGCGAACCATTAGCGCAACGTGCGCGATGTTAAATAGGACCCCGCTTGCCCTCGCCAGACCAGCACTGCTTGCCTATTGGTTTACCACCAGTAGTGTTCGTGCTGCGTTTACAATCAAGTATTTTATTGAACAAGTAAGTTCTTCAAGTTTAACAATCACGTCGACATTATACACTGAACAATCAGAATTTGACGGAAAAGAAGGAATGAAAGAAAAAAGCATTGAGTTGCGAGTCGCGGGTTTGAATCCCGCATGACATAATTGTTCATAATCTATGTTTGTAAACTGTCTCCTAAGAAAAGTCTATTAAAGAAAAAAAATAGGTCATTTTTATTTTGTTGTTAAGTTTCATAGCTCAGTATTATATCTTTGATATTATTTTCGTTCAGTATGGTTTGACGCAAACGGTTTTACAACTGCCATATACATTTTGTTGTAGTTTACCCTTTGCACCACTTTTCTTTTTAAATTAAAGGTATTGGTTTTTTTAAATAGAATAAGGGATACAAACGAGCACATAGTCCACCTGATGGTAAGTGGTTGCTGCGGCCCATAGACATCTACATCTATCCTCGATTAAGAATCAAAACGAAGATGCGTTGTCACCCCTGAGGACTAAGATGGAATGGTTACTATAAAATGTTGTTAGGTTAGCTAATTAGGTAATAACTTAAAACAGAAGGACCCTTAAGTAGGGACTGAATAAATTAACCGACTTGGTATTACATGGATCTCACAACTTTTTACGATAGAAGAACTGAGTTGCGAGACTTGTTTTTTTTTACAAATTATGTTTTGATGGCATCTCATTTTTTTGTAGATAAGATAGTCCTACTGATTTTCCTTTCCGGTACCTTCTACTTCTTGAATACCAACAGCGTACCTATCTACACCTATTATACATATACAAGTACACTGCTTGATCCACTGCAAATGTAACTTTGTAATTCTATATATTTATATGGGATTACAAAGTTATTTATGCGGTTAGTGTATCTAGAAAGCTGGACCGAAATTAAAAAATATTTTAGTTTTTCTTGATTTATATACTAAACACTATATGTATTATAAATTTGAAGCTTCTATCAAGTCTGCTAGAAGTGCCTTAGAGTTTTGATGATTGGTCAGTCAGTGAGTGACAAAATTAAGAAAATTTGACTAGTTATGTTTCTTGTAAATTGAATGAAATTTGAAATATACCATGTTTATACAATGTCTACTCGGTTATTGAAAATCCAGGCTTCTAATTTTATCCACTACGAAGTTATAAGGGGTCGAAAATGATCTGAATTGCTTCGAGAAAAGTATGGTATGGCCGTGCCGCTTTTTTGCTCGACTTGGCGGGGGCACTGCCGTGTCCCAAGAT